AATCCTGAACAGCCTTCCTCACATTGTCGACAGTCTCCTGGTGATACTCATGGGTACCGTGTGAAAAATTCAGTCTAGCTACGCGCATCCCCGCTTCGAACATCTTGACTAGGGTTTCTGGTTCACGAGACGCAGGACCTGTGGTGTTCAATCAACGTGTATTAGAATAGAGTTGTAAAACTTAATTTGAGAGATGATGTAGAGAGATTCACCGATGGTGCATATGATCCCCGTATTTCTCTGAACTTTAGGCTCCGACAAGTAATCAAGACCGGCATTATGCTCAAGGAGTGTGTCTGCGTAGGCAGCTTTCAGCTGTTGTTTGGTCAGCATGGACGGATCTTGTGCAGTGGCCTGAAAATAAAATTTGACTAAAGACCTTCATTTTCTCTCAAGGACGGTTTTGGAAAGAATAAGTAATAATCAGAATATATTTGATAATCATAAACAACGGCTGGTAAAATAGTGTGGCGTAATGGTGATGATTATTCATAGATAAACTTCTTCATTCAGTTTTATAACTCGCATAGCTATGTACCAGAATTTGAGGGCATGGTGGTTACCATGAGGGAAATGAATATATGATTGAAACATATGTGAAGAATCCGTAAAAAAATTGCCGTAAATATTGTCAACCAAACAAATCTCATGGTCACCGTTTCGGAAGATAAAAATATGTTGAACAACGTCCCTTCTATGTAAGGTTCAAACCGAAATGTTTTGCTAATTGAGATATGAACATCAACAAGATTCGTCTTTATTTATACAAGAAAAAATTATTTCCAAGAAGGGAAAGTTTCCGTGATATTCTCTAAGTATTGCAAAAAGTGTTTAGAGTAATATTTCCGCAATCATTTTCGAAATAGCAGTGCATTTGTGCAACTGAGCGTTTACGAAGAAAACAGATGCAATAAAAGTACTAATGGCGCTACAACAGCACAAACTTTCTCGCATTATTAGTAGCTTTCTTTTAAAAAATAGACAAATATATGTTATTAAATAGAAAAATAAATATTCATAGGACTTTATTTCAAGATCTAATTTTGAAAAACACATTTCATTGAGAAATCTATCGTCAATATTATCATTGAAGAAAGGCGCCGAAAAATATGTAACTTTAGAAATTTTCGAAAATCGGAGGTTATCCATATTATAAGCCTAATTTGCTCTATCCGATAAAAATAATTACTCCAAAAATTTGGACCGTTTTTGAGGAAACAATTCTTGAGGTATAGTATCCCCAAAAAATAAAATATCCGTTTCAAACACGTCAGTGACATCGATCCGGGAATATCAGTTTTGGTGAAAATCCTACTTACTGTTAATTCGCGAGCGTTGTTCACAGTCGGGCAGACGTTTTGCCGTAAAACAATTTTGAGGTATCATCAAAAGGACCATCAAAACGTGGATTCTAACTGTACAAAGTATTAGAGGAAGCTATTTATTACACATATAACAAGCATTTTCCACTTTTTCGGTAACAGGAATCTACAATACGAATTTTTCTGCCAAAAAATTGCTGTTTTCGTTGCAGCGGTATATAACTTTCTCTAAATTGCATATGAAGTACGCGATAAAGAAAAAAAACTATATATGGGCTTCTCATGAACACTCAGATGACGTAGATCAAATAATCTCAAGATTCTGTAAATTGCCTAGCAAGACGTGTCATCTTTAATAGAGTCTATATATCCCACATTTCGGCACCAATTTCCTTTGTAGAGACAAGTTACACAAAAGCATTTTGTTTTTCTAAATTTGATTTTTCTTTGGTGTTCACCTCATTACCCGCATGTACATGTTTGTTCACATACTTATGTCTGCCTGGCTTATGTAAACTTGACAAGAGATAATGATGAGAAATTTAACTGTCATCTCAAGTTTCTTTAGGAAGTAAACTGTAACGTGCGTATAGTAACGCGATTATTGCGTTACTTCTTTGTTAATTTCCAGTTAACTTTATCTTCAAACGTAGTTAACTTGCAGCCGTTTCAAATATTTATTCGTACTTGAATCGCTTGTTACACATACGTAAACAGGGGCAATTAATTTTCTTTAAAATATCGTTTAGTTTAGAGCTGTACATTTTTTAAAGAAGTACTTGTGATTATTTTCATTACATCCACAATGAAGTGGTCTGTAAGTCCCTTATACGTCACACACACAGTTAAAACATTACGTGGACTTAAAGGCAAAAATATAATTTATATAGTTAGGTACGTTTCTCCTTACCCAAGGTTGGTCACCCATTTTGACAGATCAAGAAGACACTTTAAAGTTATAAAAATTCTCCCCCAGCTGGCGAGGTAGTCACTTAAAATCGGATAACCTACAGCATTAACTGTTTCAGGCGTGCATAAACTATATATTGATTTTTCTTTCTGTTGTTTTTCATGGCCCGCTAAATAGACCAAGGTGTACAAACATAGAATAGAACGTAGTAAATTAGAAGAGGTAGCACCAACGTAAGTCACGTAGTTCGCAAATACTGAGTAGCTTGCTGTGCGAATCGTAACACCGTCTAAAGAATTATTAAGATCCAACATTTCGCTAGCTGTTATAAAAAAAGCTCCGTGTATATTATCTCGTAGTAGTTAAATGTAGTATAAAGAGACCGTAGCGTAAATAGGGATATTTATCACTGAATGTATTAACTATTACATTTTTAGCTGTACCCGAACCGTTGATATTAAACGATTTTGAAGTTTGAAATGAGTAATTAAAGTAGTATCGAGGAACAATTGGGGGAAAAAACTCGTCGTAACCTATAAAATATTTCAGTTCTAGCTCGACTCCCGTCGGGGTAAGATCTCCGTGAGTCTCAACCCCGCACAGGGGACAGGAGTCAAGAAGTCAAATGACATCAGCATGAAGTCACCCAGGCTTGCTCGACTGAACAAGGAGGCGAGCGATCACAACAATTACTCCTCGCAATATGCGTGCTACAACGTCACGTTCAGGTCGTAACCTTTTCCCAACCTTTTTCCAGCACAGGTCGTAAGATTTTGGAATCATTCGAAGGGTCATATATTCTACACCGATAATCATAGAAACAATATTTTATTTTTATTTTAAAGCAATCATTATATACTTTCATGCGGAGTTTCAACTGTTTACATAAATTAATGAAAAGCTTTTTTTATAGAATTAACACAAAAGTTGAGACCACAAAAGATTAAAATGATGATTTAAATTAAATTCTTACAAATTATATTAATATTAGAATATTATACATTACATTAAGGTCTATTGCAAATAATGAAAAAAAACATTTTATTCCCAATCATTGACTTTGATATGGTAATTTTGAACGGCGCCCCTTAGACGTCAATGCAGAGGGCATTCTCATCAGGGTATTCCAATGCTATTTATTACCAATTAAATGACAGCATTTAACGGATCTCCTGAACCGTTGCAGATACCGAGATGCGGTTTTCACTAAAATTACTATATGCAAGGGGCACATAAGGTCATGCATAATGTTATTCTATTGCATTTTTTATAGCAGAGATATTGACCCAACTTCGATTTTTTAAATGGAACCCTATAGATTTATTAGCTCATCAAAACAAGCGTGAGGAGACGAGTTCATAAATATGCATATCGCCATATGTTATATAACAAATATTTCGAGAAATTAAGAGTTTTAAAGACGCACGCCGACTGCTGGTTTCCGTAATCTGAACGAGAAATTCCGGTGATATGCTGTGAGGTCATTCCTTTCCGTTGCGTCGGCCGAGTAAAGTGGGAAAATTGGAGATGCCTCGAAGTGACGTAAGAAGGGTCTGTAGAATAAAAGTGTGGCGGAGAAGAGAAAAGCAGTCAGAACAACATGAAAACTCTCCAGATTTAGAAGAAATTTGTAAACGCAGTGAAATAGTGCAGAAATATCACACGTGTACACGAACGTGCACACAGTGTACACGAAAGAGGACAAGCTGTACCTAATTCTGGTGTGCAGTGAATGTGGCAGAAATGCAAAGAAAAGTGCATTACTGTATGCTGAAAGATATCCAGGCGGCCTTCGCACATGACTACAATGAGAATCTGCAAAAGCCTTGCGCAGTCAGGCGACTGGAACGCAGACTCGTTTGCGGAGCAGAAGGGCAACGAATGAGGAAGCACAGGCTGCCGTTTTTGCAGCTGTTCACAACAGTTCCCATATCAGCTCTCGAGACGTGGCTGGAGTATCAATGGTTGCTAAATATCTCCGATATGTAGTCTTTTCTTTTTTCACCCATCTGTCGGGCGGTCTTACCCAGTAGTGGCCAAATTCTCGTTCGACATATCTGGTTGCTCTTTCTCCAATGCCGTCATTTTCATAATTTCCTCCGAAGAGAAGACTTTCCCTTTTCTAGGCACAGCAGTCCTAGCAACCTCCCCGTTTAAGGCGCCGGAGACTCGCCAATCTCCCATCCCTCTTGGCTGCACCTCAAGTTGCCCTGGAATGCATTACCAGGGGTCACCGCGCGGATGTGAGAGTGGACTTGTCAGTCATGCAACGGCAAACCGATTACAGGCGGCTATTACGGCTATACGGTTGCGATCCCATTACAGGAGGGCTTCTCAGTACTTACTGGGGTAGGTTTACTAGCATCGCCTTCACCACCGAGACCCTGGGCGACATCGGACCCCCTTGTTAAAGGAAGTAATTTGCTGTATCGATGGGGCAAGGTTTATCCAATTTTTCGTTAACAGAACCCAGCAATATGGGTAGAAAATTCGAGTTTTTTTCCCGCAGCATTACAATATTTTCTCTATACTGCGTAGGCAATGCAAAAAGGTAAAAAACTGTTTTAACGGTTTTAGGGGACCACAAAACCTGTTTTTCCATTGAAACCTTGAAATGGATTTTCTGCAGCATTACATAATTTTCTGTATATTACGCACATTATTCTGTATATACGTATACGAGAAAGTAAAAGCATAGTTTTCCTGAAAATCATGTTCTAAGGACTACAGGTCTATGGGATGTAACAACCACCAACAAACAACACCAATTCATTAAAAAAGAATGCCTTTATTTTTTGATAACAAAATTCTTATTTCATACTTTTTGAAACCATAGTTTTTCATGTCTACAAGCATTAGTTTTTAAATAAATGTCAATAATTATATTTTACAATACAACATACATCAAATAGCACTAATTTTCAAATTATTAACAAAACAAACCACAGGAAAGTCCTGAAAAATTTTTGATATATAAAAAAATAGATCAATGTTTCCAATGAACATCATCTGACCATATCAGTCTAAAGCAAGTATTCACTTCTAAACCAAGTGTTTTCTTCTAAAGCAAGTGTTCAAGCAACTATACTCATTGTCCAATATGTCTACCATACTGGTCTTTCTCTGGAAGTAAACACAGTATATATTAGTTGCATATCTCATTTTTCACAAGTATTTCTCTTGCATGCATTTGCTTATGTGCAGTATAATTTCTATCATCTACAATGTCATGCACATATCTACAAATGATATTCTGTCAAGCACCTCTTTTACACCTTCCATGGATCCTAGAAAAATGGTTTAAATCAAGGGAAAGTATACATATCTGGAAGTTACTTTTGCTTATACAAAAAGTACCAGTTCATTGACTCTAGACATTTATTAATAATATTAACCTTTAATAATAAACCATTAGGTATCTCAAGCCTTGCACTTCAAAATCATTCATTTTACTGTTTTCCAAGTTCTTTTTCTCGAAGAGTGCATAATTGAAGCTAATGTACATAAGTTGCTGGAAATATTAACATTAACAATGTAAGAAATATTCTAAAAAAAAAATAATATGTGTGTAATTTTTGGAAGAAGAAAAAAAAACAGAAGTAAACATCAGAGTGACATTGATGTCATGTTGTTTGGTCCTATTAGCACTATCCATTCAAAACATTTAAAGAAAACATTTGGTGTCATTTTCGAGAAAATGATATTTGAACATATAGAAAATTGCTTTATTTTTGTTTTCCAGAAAAATCTTTTGAGGTTTTGGAGAAACTATTGGACATCATTTGAACCACATGCACTCATAAAGCAATAACGCACACAGAAATAGCTGATAATAAAAATATTAATACCACATGAGACGCTTTAAAAAAACATACAATTGGTATCACTTACAATTATTTGAATTCCTACAAATTTAAGCAAAAAATATGGAGGTTCTTTTTATATGGATATATATGTTTTTATATGTAATATCTGGTGATTTGTAATGTGATCTTAATTATTAACTTATTACTCTATGAAAAAATTATTATTATATAACTTTATTATCACACCGATGTAATATATATGTACAAACAGCTTGTTGCTGCCACCATTAATAAATTAATTATGAAGAATTATTATGTTTAAATAATGTACTTAAACTACTAATTTTTTTTTAGTATTGACTGCCTTAATGAAGGAACTAATAATATAGAACAAATTTCATTTGAAGGAAAAATGACTATCCTCAATGTTGCAGTTGTAGGAAGATGCCGAAAAATTTTGCAAATTTGCAATTTCCAAAAATTCTGAATAGACAGATGAGCAGATGCTTTCAAAAAAATAAATAAGTATATATACACACATAAGCACACACTCCCATGCACGCACACCCACACGCACGCACACCCCCACACAAGCACATACACACACCACTTTCAGTATCAAGGAACCCCAAAATAGGAATTCCATTGAAATCTCAAAATCAGTTTTCCACAACACCACTTAATTTCTCTGCCCTACATATATTATTCCATGTATGCATACGTATTTGAGAATGTGAAAAGAAAGATAGGAAAAGAATAATAAATACAGAAACATGAATACAGAAAGAAAAAAATTGACCATTGTTATTATGGAATTGTGGACTCTTCGCAATATTATCATGATAATAGCAACATTGGAAGTGAAGTGAAGTGAAGTGAAGTGAAGTGAAGTGAAAATTTGAAGTCACGTATTACCAGAGGCGCATTAGCAATAAGCAAAACATTTCTAGAAAGTTCTCCATCTTAGCATTTGTGCAGTAAGTGGAAAAGGCAAGAAATTGTTATTTCAAAAGTGAAAAAGTAGACGTAATTGTACATAGTTAACATAGAGGAATGAAAGAGATCAGTAAACAACAGTAAAAATAGTGGGAAAACCTCAATTCAGGGAAAGTAAAAGCAGGGTTTTATTGTAATGTGGTTACACACAATTCTATGAACAAGGTCTCAATTTTTAAATCACAGCAACATGGCGGAAAGAGGATGAGTTCTCAGAACACATTCTCTTTATTTAAATACTGTTGAAGGCGTTGAAACCATACATTACAATTATGTAACCTAAGTATAATAAACAATACTTTAGAAGATATTAAAATTAATGTTTACAAATTTCATTCTCTCCCTTTAAGTTCTTAAAATGGAGAAACTCATGGAAATTCGTTGTAATTTCCCCTTAAGCACAGAGCGGCCCTGTTGTCATCACTTCCGTTATTCATTATTTGAAGAAATTTGCCTCAGTGTAAGGGTATCTGACCAGCCAGTAAAAAATATTTTGGGTAAAGAAAATTATTCATGCCCAAATTTGAAACCTCAATCTTTTCCTTGCTACTGCTTATAGAGCAAACACAGAATAAATATTAGAGTACATCTCAATTTACCTTGTTCAACATGAGAAGGATGCTGAGTAAGATCCAATGTAAGCACTTTACTAATTAAACATTCTCCAGCCTAAAAATGAAAGGAAAAAAAATTGAGTTAAAATAATCTCCAGTCAAAAAATTTAAATAAACAATTAAAATTAAAATGCAGATCTTCAGTAAAATGTTTTTGCAATTAATGACTTCTGAATTTCTATCTTTAATAAAATTCTCTATACTCAATAGAAACTAGTGATTTTTTTCTGAATTTCGGCAAGAACTAGACAAGGATCTTGGGTGAAGATTTTTATTTTTATTATATAACTATTACCAGACTTTTACACACCTTTCAGAATTAACACAGGAAAAAGGATTAGGGACATCTTTTGAGAGTTGTGGTGTTTATTGATAACTACATTAATACTCACATCTGGACAAATTCCAATAAGAGCATCAGCATGACCATAGAACTCCTCTTTTAATGAAATAACAATGGTTTGAAGAGAAGAAGTTCGTTCTCGAATATAACTTGCAACTTTGCCAATATTTGTATTATCCAATGCTGCATCTATTTCATCCAAGACAAAAAACGGTGAAGGATGATAACTGAAACAAATGAAGTTTTTCCATTATGACTCATATACAATACAAGTGTGTCACTGTTCTCAAGTGATTAAGTACATTAAGCACATTCAGTAATCTAAAGCAATAAGAAGAATGAAAGATGGCAAAGGGAATTTTGCACACATATACATTTTTTTGGTGAAGGAACAAACTAAAGGAATGTATCAATATTCATGAATTTCAGCTAATTGGTGCTTTGACAGTGCTATTAAACTACAGCCAACAAGAATGAAAATAGCTGAGATACTAATATTTGCCATTGCCACCGAGTAAAGAATTTGCAGAATAAGAATGTAAACCCCTCACACATTTTGAACCAACTCTGCTCAAAAACTGCTAAAGCTCAGTGACAACACTGCTGCTTCTGCAGCATTGACTACCACAATTTCCTAGAGTTTAGGTTCTCACAATGGCAGATTTTGATACTAACTACTACATAGCCAAGTTGAATTCAGCCCCTATTTGTAGGGGAATTCTAGCAACCAGCTGCTCTGGTCAGTAGTTTTACATGGCTTCTCTGGTCAACACAGGAAAAATGCCTCTACCTCCTGGGGTACAATATGCACTCACTTATGTGTCTAATGATCTAAGTAGCTGATGCACCCACAATCATTATTCATTCCAAGAGAAATATGTCAGGAACCAAGAACCAAGATTTTCCAAAGCTCCGACTTCTCTCCACTGCATTTAACAAATACACTAAATGCTTCAACAGCACATACTTTCTCAAATTATTTGTGACTTATGTAATATGGTTGAACCCACAAAAATATTTTGCAAGGTCAGAGGTGAACCTAGACCCTTAGATTCCGCCTCTTGACCACTACCACAGGATTAATTTGGTAGACGTTGCACCTAGATGCAAGGGGTTGGGTCATCAATGTGGTGGTCTGTTTGGCAGTTGGCCCTAGAAGGTTGCCTGTCATTAGAAACTACCACACAGATTCAGTAGTAGTCTTTGGTGGTATGACATTGTTTTCTGATTTCTTTATTTACATCCAGACTATGAGCTCAAATACTAATAAAAGCATAGATGTTTCCAGTTGTTCCCCACCCTCATCCACTAAAAATATAGTCATAATGCAAAGCCAAACTTTAGCATATTTTATGAAGATTAATATTAATAAAAGAATGCATTCTACATACAACATAAAGGCAAATTGTTAAAATATTTTTTAAGCAAAACCTTCTCAACTTGAAAACTTGCCACACATTCTCACATTACTATGTGAATCGGTCATGTACAAATTCACAGTTTACAATTTGAACAAATGAATATTAAACAGTCCAAATTTTAAGTTCAGTCTGTTAAAATACATGTACAAACTGTTAAAGAATCAAAGACCATGATCAAGAGCATAAAAGGAAGAAAATCTGATACACAGAAAGACTTGTACTTAGGTGGTGTTAAATGAAAGATGAACACAAATTCAATGCTCGAAACTTTCCATGAAGCCTAAAAATTTTAAGGACCATGCAGTACGGCAGGACCAAAAAGAAAGAATGATATATGTGAAAATGCAAGTGTCAAAAACCATGATTCAGATGGTTTTAAGGAACAAGAAAATAAGTCCTGCAATACTAAGTTTTAATATTTTCATTAATAGGACTATTTGCATTTTTTTTTTCTGACTGTATCGTTACAATAAGTTAAAAATAAAAAATCAGGAGGCCTTTTCAAAATTAAGGGGGGGGGGGGTCATCTTATATTCAGATAAATATGGTAATTATTTGAGAAGTTTTAAAGTCTCTCCTATAAAATGACGTTCACTTCACACAGCCGGTTTCACTGGTCAATATGCTATGTTATGGGTACAGGCAATGGTACTACTACACTGATGGTAAAGGTTTAAATATTAAAACAAGCCCATGGGCTACATCTGGCAATACGGAAGGTTCTAGCTGAAACAGGCCCAACATCTACCTCAGAGGAAATGTTTGGGGAGGGAACGGGGTGCCCTGTGCTGGTCATCCAGCCAAGCAGTGTTGATAACAGAGTGCCCAAGGAGAGTTTCCAGGAGCTCCTAATAAAAAGCCCAGGAAGGGTCTGAGCACACCATTAAGGTAGGCCTGTCCGTAAATAAAAAACACAATAGTTAACATCATTCAGATAAGTTAAGAGGTGCTACAAATATATAAATAAAGAAAATTGCATTGACAGATATTTATTAAAGGTTCTCTTAGGATGTCAGAACAATCAAAATGCAGGTGTAATATTCAAGAATATTGTACAAAAACAGAGATCCAAGGAATTCTTTTCTATTATCTTACTTTTCGAAAATCTTTACCTGTGAATGGCGAATAATAGTGCAAGAGCTGCAACTGTCTTCTCTCCTCCCGACAAATTTGACATTGGCTGGAAACGCTTTCCAGGTGCAACACAGTTGTAATTTATGCCATCTAAATAGGGTTCTTCAGGGTTTTCTGAACAAAGAATTGCTTGGGCAGATTGGTTCTTAGCTAAAGACTGAAATAATTCAGATGGTCAGAAATCATTATTGGTCAATTATTAAGCCTGAGTCACCACATTCATAAAAGTCAATATACCTTATAGATGGTATCAATTTCATTGGCTACATGCTCAAAGCAATTCATAAAACGATCATGTCTGTCTTTTTTCACTTTTTCAAAGTTCAATTTTGCTTTTCGAGCATGTCGTCTAGCCAATTCAAATTCTTCATTGGTTTCTTGTAATTTTTCACGAGCCATATCTAACTTTTGCATTGCCTGCCCAACAAAAACAGTTACAAAACAGTAGTTAAATATTTACCATATTCACCAAAAATAAATAATACATAATTTCTAAAATAAAAAGTACCCTCATATTAGGTGCTTGAATTCTTTGAATTGTATTCTGAAGGTCATTTATAGCTTTGTTAAGTTTGTCTCCCATTTTCTTCACATCATCTGCTTCATCAAGTTCTTTGAGATGTTCACTTAGTGAAGAGTAATCCATTCTTATCCTGGAAAGCAAAAATTAAACAAAATTGGAAAATAGACTCTTTACATGACATAACAAATATCGTCTAATTTACACAAAATTGAACATGAAACAATAATAAATTCTATCAATACATATTTTAATAAAACACTTGAATAAGTTTCTTTTACAGCTAATAACCATGTTTTTCCAAATATAAGAAGTGATATTTTTCATAATATCTAATTAGAAAATACAAAGACATCTTGCATTCACAGCCTATGCCTAATCAGATGGGACAAGTGTTTTAAAATTTACCTTTTCCTGTCAAGAAATTCTAATGCTAATATACTAATATGCCACAAAGACAGTAATAAACTTTGTGGCATATTATTAGTGGTGATTCTAAAAGGTAAGACAGACAGAAGCAGGACCACTTCTCTGCTTACATGTCTTCTTCATTTATGCATTTTAAGTTACCTGCTTTCTCGATCATAAATTTGAGTCATTGAACTTGTGTCTGTTGCTTCTGATGTCTCTGCAATAGATGATTCTTGGGCAATATCTTCCATGTTTCCTCTTTGCATAGGAATAGCTATGTCTTCCATCTAGAGACAACACCACCAAGAAAATATTCAAGTCATTACTTATGTAGGAAATTAATAAAATAAATTCTAATATCTTGGAAGAAAGATACAATGATTGTCAGAAAATTAAAAGAAACCAGAGCCTTCCATTGCTTTATACCACAATAAAATGCAAATATACATCATTATCAACTGAAAGTGAACTTCATCAATTTCTGAAGTTGTACCATTGGCACAAAATACAATTCATTCTATTTTTAAAGATTTTGTAATTCATTGTATTTAAAATTAATTTCCCGTTATATAACATTGTTTTTGTAAAAAATGTTTGAATGTATGTCCTCTATTGTTAAAAATATAGTTTCCTTAGTTGGTTATCTTTTAATAATTTAATTATTACTTTCATTCCCTCACATCCTCAAAGTAGAAATGGCTGCCATTAGTAAACCAAATTTTATGAAAAAAATTAAAAACCTTTATGAACAGTCAAAACATATGGGGATTTTTGTACAATTTATGATGGGGAAAGTATGAATTTTTTTCAAGATGGTCAAGTGACCCGTACTGGACCACTTAAAATTGATTGACCCCAAACAAAGCAGGTGAAAACAGAAAGGAAGTGAAGTAGTGCACACAACAACAAAATAAAGTGCACGTAAGCAAATGAAAGTTCGGTAAATAGAATTTCAGGAAATGGAATATCATCTCATCACAAAAAAAAAATAATGAAAGCTATATTTTAACCCAGAATAAATATACTCGCAAAATATTTTGCAATACTGAACGCAATGAAAACACACCTTGCACTGCATAAGAATACCATGCCTATCTGCCTTCCGCTGTTCTATTCGGCTTTCCAGAGCAGTCACTTGCTTCTGAGCAGCCTGAATGTCTTTTGCAATTAATCCCATTTCTCGCCTAGCCTGTAAAAGAGAATCAGTAACTATCATACAAATGGATCACATACTCTTATCCATTGAGTAATACCTCTCATGAATTCTGAAATACACATCTTACTTCTACAAATAAAAATGATTGTCACCTTTCCAATTTGATCCTCCATTGCATCTACTTCAGTCTTTTTATTGAGACGCTCAGATTTCAGGCCATCCAATTCACGCATATCACGATCAATCTCCCCCATTTGCTTCTGTTCAGCCTGCTTAGCTGTTTCCAAAGCATCTTCATCATCTTGAACAGCTCGCTCCCAACGCAAGACATTGTCTAGTAATAATACAAGAGCAAGTTTTAGTCGCATCATCCATGTCAATTTATTATAGAAGTATAAAAGAATCACCAGTAGTATTCCGTAAATACTCACTTTGAATGCTCACTTCTCTCGTTTTCTCAAATTCCAACTGATTGAGAATTCTGTTCTTTTGGTTTTCAAATTCCATTCTCTTTTTCATACGTTCTTGCTGTGTGCTATAAAACATGTAAAAGTTATTTATGATATGAATGGTAAAAGTGACATTTTATTTTGATAGTAGGAAAGATTGGGCCATGAAGTCAGTGGCCAATAAGTTAAATAAAATCACTCTTAGCATGCATTTCATACACTGTTGTTTTATTTTAGCCTTACTGACTTTCATACTACTTAATGATACAAATAATTTAATTGAGTACTATGCTACATTACAATGAAGTCAGATGAACATAATTTGTTTTCTTTTGCATTCAGAGTTTTATCTGAGCATTTGAGTACTATCTCACTTTTAGTGCTAAGAACACCTTTAAACTTTTAGCATGCTCTTAATGCCCTAGATAACTACTTTTACTAGGGACTATTTAAAAACTTAATTTATAAACACAAATTACAATCAAGTTAATAAAATAAATTTATATTTGGTGCTTTTAACGATCTCAAACATATTCATGGGTAAGTCAATGAGTATCTGCACTAAATGTTTATAATTGATTACAAACTGTACAAAATTTACAATAACACCATTTTTCACCACAGGCACAATACTTTTCAATGTACTTTGTCCATCTTACCAACTTTCCAATACTCTCAGAATAAATTATTTTCGAATGAGAACCATTTCATGTATGCACTACTTCCTCACCTAGGTTGGAGGAAAATCTTTGGCCTCTTAAAACATCTTTATGTGGACCAAACAGATGGTAATTACTGATAAGATCGGAACTGATTCCCAGATGCACTGACTTTTCGAAATACAGATTTCCAAGAACTTGGGTGGCAGATTATGGATTCGCATTGTCTAGCAACAAAATAATGCCTTTCGGCAATCCATCTCAGGACTCTCATATATAGAACCTGACTAACATGCATATGGTTTGCCACTCCTTCAACAGTTGCTCATCAGTTATTCAGAATTAGGGCATGGACTTGCTCAACATTGGGATCAGTAGTGGATGTGGCTGATCATATGGCTCTTTTCTCGTCCTGCTTGCTTGTTTGACTGCTTTTAAATGGATCAAACCACTAGTAACCTCTTCGCCATGAAAAACATTACACGCACATTGCTGCTTGTTTTCTAAGGATTTCCAATTTAAGGGCACATTCAGATTACAAAAACAGGATAAGAACAGGATAAGAATATAAACAGAAAAGTGTTTTAGTCATGTTTAGATTGCAACTACTCTAGCAAACATTAGATGATAAAACTTATCATAAGCAAAGTGAACAACATCATTTTAAGGCAGGTAAGTGCACAAAGCTCTAAATTTAAACTACTGATGATTAGGAAAATCAATGCAGATATTTACCGACGTATCTTTATAAACACAAGGCTCATTATATCTATATCAAATTCAGAAGTAATGAAATAATGCTTTTGGTTACATTAATTTAAGATAAAAATAATAGTTGTTAATAATAGTTACGTGGCCAAATGAATGTACTTTCTTACTGAGTTATTGATATTTCCTAAATTGATTTTTAAAAGGAAAATTAATTACCGTAACTCACGCTCCTCATACTGTCTGATATTTGCCACACCTATTTGGGAACAAAAACTCTGAAAAACATCATCCTCTACATTATTCATATTCTCTTTAATTTCCTGAATTTGCTGATCGCGGTTGCGCATGGTCCTTTCAATTTCAGAAATTGCAGGCTGAAAAGATGAAACATTTTCATATAAACATTAAAGAAGTAACAAAACTGAATTTTATTCAGCAAAAAATGGTTAGACTAATATACTTATTTACCCCAAAGTTCTCCATTTGTGTCTTCAGAGACTCCAATTCACCTTCAAGTTGTTTAATCTGTTTCAACTGTAAGACAATGTCCACAAAATTATATTATGAGTTTTTCTTTCTTTCATTTTATTTGTGTTGTTAAAGGTACATTAAACAACCAAGGTGACAGGTTGACAGTAACGGTAGTGTGCAATGTAAAATTATAGGATCAATATAATCAACATAAAAACATGTGCAACTGGAAATTTGGAATGTTTTCCTCAATATACAGTGTTCAAAGATACTAACCGTATTTTCTTTATCTGATTTTGAGTACTTCAAACGTGTTTCCAAACCCCTTATTTGAGAATCCACAGTATTTAATTCAGATTCTTGGCGAGATTTTTTCATAGATTCCCTCAGTTCTTCTGTCAATTTTTCCTAAAATGAAGAAAAAAAATACTTTAAAACTACTTCCTTAAACATACTTGAAAAGAAGTTGTAAAAATGATGTCAGGATCATAATTTAAGTCTAAACAATCAATGTCCACTGCCCATCATGATGTTCTTAAGTTTGCAGACTTGAATAAAAAAACAGAAAAACAAAGATATATCAAAAATAGATTGTGGAACCTGTCTTATTAATTTGTATTTTAAAATGTAAGTGAGTTATGTGGGTGTTCTTAAAATTAGAATTAATAAGAGATGCCAGATCTTGTATCGTGGATATTGATATTATTACTTTTACCGAATCATGGCTTACTGATGAAATAGATTGGCATGATTTTCACTTGATGGTGATGATGATTTTTAACTTACATGAGATTGGGATAATTTTAACTGGTGCATTTTTTAAAAGAGGTTATAGCTGTATGAAATGCAGTTTTAATTGTCAAATTTGAATTGATATTACCTTTAAAAGAATTAGTCTTCAGACCTTATGTTCTGTGATTGGTAATAAGTTTTACAAGTGATGACAGAGATGTGTCAATATAGACAAAAATTGTGATATAATAATATTACATAACTATTACAAAGGGCAAAGAAGTACATGCTGTTGTAGCATCACTACTTTGTAATGGGAAATTGGTGAACAACACTGAATGGTAGGCAGAATGGTTTATTTATAACCTTGACACGTTGATGTTTCACCGCACGTGTTCGACGACCAAGCCCTTGCCTTCGGTCTATGGTTCTTGAACATCCCACAAGCATCCTTGAATCTGACTTATGCATTTTATGTCACATTGCTTTAATTAAAATGCAACAAGCTAATTTGAATGGTGAAACGGAAAATCCAAGTCCTTTTTTGTCCAATGATTTCACATAATCATTTTATTACGAAAAGGAATCAGAGATCATGTTAGATAAGACTATTATATTTTGAAATGCATTTTTGATGGATACTATTAGAAATCCAGTTACACAATCAAAATACAAAATCATATCATCCAGTGGTGGTTTGTTAACTTTAAACTACTATCCAACCAATAACATAACTTATTTAAATGAAGACACACAGCTCCGCCAGTTACTATGGAAGTTAATACTATGGCAGAGTCAATTGAATGACATTAAAATACAATATAAGAAAAATAGTTATTTAAAACAGGATGGAATTAAATTATATTCCGAAAGAAATGACGGTTAACACTTTGGAAAAATTTTTATTCGTTCAAATCAACAAGATAAAACAATAGAAATCTATAGAGTGGCAATGTGCTTGCCTTATGTGAAGCTTTTTGAAAGGATAATTGCCATGTTTTCTGTGGGCAAGACCAGAACGTTTGCATAACGATGAATTCAATCAGAGTGAATTTAGAAGAGAGACAATATTTTGAAAATGTTGAGTTTAGTTTAGATTAATTTAAAGAATAGTAAGTTTACTCGTTTGTAGAACCAATTAATTTTTTGTATTTTCTTCTTGATGACTTTTGATTTTAAACAAAAAAATTTTCGAGTTATACATTTTTAATTATTAATACTCATTAGTAAAACTTTAAATTAAATTGATATCACTACGAAAATGTTGTGCTTGACAATAATTTGAGACTAAACTGTGGTCTTGGAAAATTTGGTATGAAAATAAACAAATAATTTTACAAATTTGTCACAACTGTTTTGATACATTTTAATGTGAAATACTATCTTTACCAGTTCCACACTATATCAATTAAAAATCTGGATTACACTTAGTTGAAATTAATTTAAAGTCAATTCTATTATTATTATTTAAATATTTGTGTAACTACACATTAGATACACAAAATTGAAGTAAAGTATCTCCCCTTCTGCTTCCAATACTTTTGTTGCTTCTATTCCTGCAAATTATGTGCCCAACAAGAAGAGAGCACTATAATGTCGCATACCTATATATATTACACTTACTTTATTTTACCATCAGAAACATGGCAGTCAGCAGTACAAATTGCTTCAAGCAGGAGTATTGCACTAAGTTCCTCTATATAACTCAAACTCGTTCATTAAAATGATAGTTCGAATTTTGTTAACATCAAATTGCTTTACAAATAACACACGGAGATTGGCAGGGATTTCAAAATAATTTCATTAAACCAAAATTTTCATTACATTGGCATTGACACTTCACTGTACATTACAATTGACTGAAAGGCCATTAGGTGCTTGTTGGTAATTACACACTTGTGGTACACAACTCTCGAATAATAAATTAACTTGAAGGTAATGGTCTCAATTAACTACATAAAGAACTTTCTAAATTAAAATATATAGGGTTATGGACATACCTTTTGAGCTTTCAACTGTGACATGTGTTTTTCATCCCAACGTTTTGCTTTGCGAGCAAGATCAAGACTACCACCAGAAATAATGCCAGATTTTTGATAAAATGTACCATCCAATGCAACAGCCTATTTAAGAAAAAGAAGTTTTATAAATAAATCCTGTTTTGATTTACAAACAGAATAACAATAAAATTAAATGAAACTCTTATTCTACTGTCTAATATCGTAGCCCTGACAACAAATAATAGAAAATAACACCAAGACATAGGCATAGAAACCTTGTCATGAACACTTTTATTTTTTCATCAAAATGATCTACAGTCAAGAAATAGCAAACAAGATTAAATCTTTTAGCTCATTTTAACATTTTTAACTCAGTGCAACAACTTACATCATAGCGATTTTTATCCATTTCATATGCCACTTTCATAGCATCCTCTGGAGTTTCACATACCAGTGCGTTATTTGTTGCAAAAAGAACAGCTCGTTTTATGTCAGTTGGTTGATAATGCAGAACATCAAACAAAAGACGAACATTCTTTGGTTCCTTAATATTCCTAGTAAGACAATCAGTTTGCAAGGCTATAAAACTCATTATTAGAACAACACAACATCAGGTTATACAAAAAGTATTCATTTTCCTAGTAATTGAGGTTCCACGACAATGCAAAACATAATATTCAATGAGGATCAGTATATTCCTCTTCCTTAAGAGAGTTATTTCAATATTCACTTCTGGGGTTCCAGAAGTCTCACTGCAGAAGTGTACACTCACTAAAATTCTAGTATCTTTCATCCAAAGGACGGGTATAAAACACGACATTCTACATTGCTAAATTTCGCAATAGTGAAGACGTGATGCTGTACATTTACAGCAGGACATTGCCTTCTACATCTTTGTATCTAATGCATACCTTAGGGTTGAGTAGGAAATAGGAAACTATGAAACTAACAAATAACTTGTGGGCAATAAGCAAATATGTTCATCAACATCCGAGGCTTATTGACACGTTGGAGCATACATGTTCAAATCAATAGTTCTATAACATTATTTATTTTCTTTTTCCTACTTTCTAATCATCTTTCTCGAAAGCAGAAGAATGTGATGGAAGCTGAAGATAGTGTCGTGGTGTAAAAAAAAAAGTTCTATAATCGGTTTACTCAAATTGAACAAGTAGGCTAATACATAAAACATTTTAAGGAACTCACCGAAGGCGCTCTTTCAATGGCTTGGTCTGAATGTAATCTAAAGGAAGAAAAGTCTCAGGTTCCAGCATTTGCTCCTTTAAATACTGAATGCATTGCCTAGCAGTTTTTTCTGTATCTACAACAATAGCTTCCATATACTTGCCAAGAACTTTGGTAATTGCAACATTGTATCTCTTGTGAATAGGTTGACACATGTTAATCATACGATCAAACTGAAACAAATAGTAAAACATTTTATTTTGAAGCTCATGCCTTTGCAAAAATATCAATTTAATTTAATTACAAAATAATCTTTGAGAATATGCCAGGTATAAGGTTGGTAAAAAAGTGACTACTATTGTTTGAAAAGTCATAGACCAAGGAAAACATTTCATTCTACTAACCACGCCAGGGTAAAGCCTCTTAAAATTTTCAACGATTTCTTGCTTCTTTTTGCGACGGGAATCTTCATGTTTATCAACACGAGCATCTCCTAACTGTTCTACTACACTTTCCAGTTCTTTTTGAAGTTCTTGAACACGTTCTTTTGAAGTGCCAACATCGCTCTGTAGATCTTCTCTTAATCTCCGCTGATCTTCCAAAGCAGATTCGCTTGACCTACAACAAACAAGCATTCAATTTGAGATTTACACATGTTAATAAAACGCACATATGATATGAAGTTAGCATTAAAATCTCACTTTATGTGTTCTATTAATTTCTCCACACGTTTTGTGGCTTCTTGCTTCTCATGACCCTTCTGTCTTAACCTATTTTCTATGTCGGTTTTCTTACGTCCTTCATTATCCAAACGGTCTTGATCTGCCTTTTGCTCTCTGTTAACTGAATCCAGTTGTTGCAAGTACATGGCTGACCTCTTCCCTGCTTCTTCCTTTAACTGATGGTACTCTTGGACCTGTACAAAGGCACAGCATGCTCTCAGTATTGCGACACCGTAAAGAGTAATTACTCACATTGAAGGCAAAATTCTTCATTAAGCAGGTCCTTACCTGACAATACCCAGAGAAGCAGAAGGTGAAAGTGTTATAAGTTTGAACAAAATTTAACAATCTACTACAATAAACTGATAAAGGAGAAGAGTTCACGCATTCTGGCATCTGTGACAGGTGCAAAACTTAACCACAAACAAAACTCCTTCTCAGAGTGTGATACAACATATCTCATTCAGTTTTCTAATGTGATTTCTGAAGAGATGGAAGTAGTTGAAACATGTTATAGGGCATTTTCTTATTCTTAAATATCTGATTGTCTGTCTGTAGTGCTTTAAGTGTAATTATATATTGCTCATATGGGTTCTTATTTAAAGAGGTTTACATCAATTTTAAAAGTAATAGTTCTATTGTATTGCACTTCCTACCATTTAGTTCTTTAATGATAATGAAATTCAGGTGATAGGTTTATAGAGACGAAAGTGAAGATTTTATCATTAATTCAAGTTATACTGATAAAGTAAAGAAAGAAAAGGTGATGTTGATTGTGTGGAAAAAAATGTACAAAACTTCAAAAATTCATAGCGTGCAAATTTTGTATGATCCCCAAAAGTACACTATTTTGAATTGTTTTCCAATAATAGACTTGCCGATTTAATGGTATAACAGACCAATATTAGTGCAGTGTAAACTCTGTTACAACACAATTTAAGTGCACAAAGAAGAGAACAATCAATGTGCACTGTAGTAAAATCACACTGAGAGGGTGGTCAGCCCAATTTGAATTGTTAAAAAACATGAGAGCCACATAAAGTGCCGTTGTTTGAAATTGTTGTTGTTGTTTTTGCAAATATTAACTTTTGGCTTTTGTCACGTTTCACCCAAGAAAACATAGCAGTTAATAAGGGTAGGTTAATTTCCAATATAGCTCACATCCAATACTTAGTTAATTACAATTAGTGTAAGGAAGCGGTATTTTACAGTACTACAATAAATTGCATAAACTACATAAAGATTAGAGCTAAGAAAGATTATCTCCCACCTGAGCGTCCTCCAGATGAACGTCACGGCCTTGGCTCTGAGATTCTCCAGCAACCATATCTTCGTATTCTTTCTTCTTTCCTTCAACTTCTGCCAATTCTGTTTCCAGTTCACGAATATCTTGTTCATGAGCTGCATCAGCTTTCTTTGCCTGTGTTAATGATTTCCGAGCAGATTCCAATTTCTTTTGAATGTGTGCCACACGTTCTTTAGATTTAATGAATGTAGGTCGTTTTTTGTTTATTTCTGATTCCTGATAAATTAAAGTACAATGAATTCAAAATCGTAATATAATGTAATTCCCAGTAACTCTTCTTGAATTTCACCAATTCAAACTCACCATTTCACGTATATCCTGCTCCGTTTTTGCCAAATCTCTTGATAATTTTCCACACTCCTTCTTTTTCTCTTTAAGTTGCTCTTCTGCTTTCTCCTTACGCTTTTCCACCTTATGTACTTCATGTTGTTTTTTTTCTAATTCTCGCTCCAGAGAAGCAATATCTCTTTCGTTATGATAAAGGCGAAATAGTTGTAATTCCACTTGTTTATCAGCCTACAAATAATAATTACACCAAAATATATTAAATTAATAATATAATGCATACAAACATGCATTTAAGGGAAAATTGTTCTTGATAAATGTAGTGATTCTCACTGATAAGTTAATCCTTTACAAAATTATTTCTGATGTACTTTTTCATAGAATTATTACAAAATTGTAGCAGTGCTACATTACAATTCAATGAGAACTCAAGAAAATACTTTCCAATAAAAATATAATCCCATACTAATCTTTTGCTGTACTCCAAAACACAAGATATTTAAAATGTTTTAAGGTCCACAAAAGCACATATCTCTTACTGCTATTTCTTCTCACAAACGCTGCTTTTCCAACAGATTCTGATAACATTGAACACTTTCAACATTTATTCCCTTACAAAACTATTAACACACCAGCACTCAATTTAATGAGATAGCTTTATTCTTACCAGATCTTCTTTCAATCGTTGGTATTTTTCTGCCTCCTCCTTTTCTATCTTGGCTTCTTTACGCTCGGCAGCAATACCTTTCTTCTTTTGATAAGTATACTGTGTTTCCTCTTCAGCTTTTAACATCTCATTTCTCAACCTTTCATATTCATCTTTAAGAGATCCTGACCTTTAAAGCAGCATTTAAATAAAACATTATTTCACTTACTTTCATAAGAACAAAAAATGTAATCTTTAAATTAAATGTATGAACAACAACACCCTAATTATCTCAATTAAATGAGAATTTGATCAGATTTTGATGCACTGAAATCAGTTAATTGGTTAAAGCTAAGAAAATAGGTAAAAAAATGTCAGACACTGAAAAAAATGTTCACTTTAATGAAAATCTACTGTATTTATCTTCCCAAATAATTTTAAAAAATTAACTACTTTATCTAATCTTGAAAATGTTCCATCTTACAACAGAAATTATATGTAAATATGCTAATAAGTAAAAAAGATAAAAATGTCTTTTAAAGTGCAATTGAATCACTACACATGTCAAATAATTGATCCTGGAAATTAATGAAACTAAGCATTCAATACAACAATGGTTTCCTAATTTCATTTGTAAACATCAACATATTGTTGATGATAATTTCATCGATCACAATTTTACTTTTCCTCCATGGTTCTTCACCTTTTCTGATCAAGATTTCACGAGGAATATTGCAGGGAGGAAAAATAATTTTACTCTACAGCAAAACAACCCAAATCAAATTATTATTTGAATAACTGAAGTTATAATGCAGATCCACCATGTGACAGGTTGGCTAGAACTCAAACCACATAAATGAATGCTCTCTCACGGACATTATGACCTATAGACCTAGTGACTTGGACATTATGACCTGTAGACCTAGTGACTCGGACATAATGAACTAGATCTGTATATTTTAAATTTTTTAATAAACGAGATAGTAGTTTGGTTTCAGTTATTATTTTGTACATAGCTTTCTGTAAGTTAACAAATCAAATGAAAGAAAAAATACTAGTAAACAATACAAAAACATTAACAGAGGAAGAGCACTGTTTTGTTGCCAATAAAATTAATAAATCAAAACAAAATCAAAAATAGTGAACACATATCTATTATGCTTCATCTTTGAGTACATTAGGCCTAGATAAAATATTGAACTTACCCACTGATTTCTTCAAATAATGCAGTTCTTTCTTTAGGATTTTTCATAGCAATGGATTCAACTGCACCTTGGAAAACTAAGAAGTTCTTGGCTCTGGCATTAATTCCCAGTTTTTCAAGGTCTGCTAAGTACACTTGACTGCTTACTGGCTGTAATAACAAAAATACAAACTAAAATTTCTTCCCTGAACACCACACTCAATGTAAACAATATATTCAAAACTAGTGATGCTACAACAACACGTACTTTCTTGCACTTAGAAATTTCACAGTAATTTCTCCGCACTGCAATTCCTCTCTGAATTAACACATCTGTCAAAAATTTTTGCAAAACTCAATGTTTTCAAAAATTGTACTTGACCTAATTCCAAAAGATATCTTTAAGAAACAGATTTTATTAAGAGAATTTAATCTCTATCTTTAATATTTTACCTGTAGGAAGACGCAGAAACAATTTTTAACTTCTGCAATTTTCAAAAAATCATGGTTTTCAACGAGCATGATATCTACCTCACTCTGAAGGACGTTTAGTCCTTCAGAGTATCCAATAAAAAAGTTAAATAAAAAATTATGGAGCAATTTTTTTTTTTATAATTTGGAAAATGTTCCAGGGTCTTCACATGAAGTACCCCCAAAAATTAAAATTTCCATTTTAAATTCAAGAGGCCATGACAGCCAGATTGTTTGGGAAATATCAATTTTGGAGAAAATCAGCTGAATGGTTTTAGCCACTAGTGTAGTTCTTTGTCTAGTATTGTTGACAGACTTTTGCTGTCAATTGATTTTTCGGTATCAAGGTCCCAGGAAAAATGGATTCTAGCAACACACAAGATTTTTTTGTCTCATCTGGATATTTCCACTTTTCCGATACCAGGGCCCTTTAATAAGGAGTTTTCTGCCCATAATTCACTGTTTTCACACAGTATTACATAACTTTCTCTCCACTGTGCAAATGGTAGCGAGAAAGTAAAAATCATGCTAATGAACTAAAATATTAAAAATTAACTACTGGTGCTAAAGCAGCACATATTTGCGTGCCTCACTTACAGTTACGCCATTTCTGTACATATTAACACATTTCAGACAACACTTGTAAAAATCATTATCAATCAAATAACATGAAAATTTGAGCTAATATATCAACACAATTCAACAAGCAGACAATGAGAATTTCAAACTGTCATGTCGCAGCATTCCCATTGTTGCAAATGCAACCTGATAACTCTAGAAAAATTCCAGTAAAAGAGGGGCAGAAAATTCGAATTACGCTAAACTGGTATCTTTTAAATATTGTACCTGAATTTCTTTTCTTTCTTCTTTTTTTTTAATTACAAAATAAGTGTTTAAAATTTGCTTATGTTTCACATTAAAACTATTCAAATTTTCCCAAATTTGTACATGTACTTATTTCAAGATCTGTTTTTGACTAAAAGATTTCATTACAGAAAAAATGTTTATCTTCAATATTACAGTTGTAGGAAAACACTGAAAAAATTTTGAACTTTGGGAATATTTGAAAGTACAGAAGTTCAACAAAAATTCATCCTATATCATGTCTTTATTGTTTTAAGTTTTGCAATTTTCATGCTAGCTCTGACCACAGACCTACATTTTGTCAAACGAATTTTACAGTACCAAGGACCCACATAACATGGATTCTGACTATACATGTTGGAGAAAGTAATTTACTACCTATATGCAATGGTGGAAAAAATTATTGCATCACCGTTCATTATTTTACTTTTTTCTTTTAAAGGCAGTGTAAAACTATGAATTGCAGTTCAATTGTCAGTTTTTGTATTTTTACTTACATTGTTGACTTCTTGGAATGTATTCTCTGAGAATTTATGATTATTTGTCAATAATGACTGTGTAAAACAACCTATTTCTGTTAGTTGATCAATTTCTTGTGAAACCCTGCGAGTGGCAAGATGGGCAAAGGAGAGGTGTTAACACTGATGAAGAAAACAGTTATATTGGCTTATCCTTTTATTGGTCACAGTACAAGAGATATATCTTACAAGAGTGGTTTTCATCAGTCTGCCACCCCCAGGCTTCTAAAAAACACAGGGAAAATGGAAATGTCGACTACAAGAAAGGGAGAAGGGGCAAATGTTTTTCTACCCGTAAGCAGGATAGAATTCAAAAACAAATCAGACTTAGCAATCGCCGACTCACATCTACAGATTTGAAATGAAAATGGGAAGAAATATAAGATATTTCTGTGACTAGTAGAACTGTTTAGAGAGACTTATTGAAGCAGGGCTTTATGCCAGTCATTCCAGAAAGAAGCTTTTACTGACAACCTCAATGCGACAAAAAAAGTCTACACTAAGCAAAAGCACATGTGTCATGGTTAACGGAGATGAGGAATAAAAATCTCTTTTCAAACAACTAAAAATTTAATGTGCGTAGCTGCGATAAATAGATAGTTCATTGCAGAAGAGGCAAAGAATTTTTGGCTCCATACATTATGCAAATTGAAAAGCATCCAAAAGGACAATTGATCTGGAAACTTTTAACCATGGGGTCTGTTGTCTAGACTTCACACAAGTCTGGACACTGGAGATGTCCATAAAAATATTCTTGAAAGAAAGCTGATGCCAACAATTTCAGACCATTTTGGTGATGCTTCAGGTTGCATTTTTCACGCAATTCTGCTCCTAGTCACAAAGCTTTAAAGGTAACTCATGTGAATGCTATTTGTGTTGTGTATGGAGCAGAAGTTAAATATTTATACATTTTCGGTGAAGTTTTTCGTGCAACAAAATGGGGTGCAGGTGTTAAGACTGGCCATGCAATGCTCTGATCTCAAACCCATTGAAAACTGTTGGAAGCTTAATAGGGAATGCTGTATAGCATGAAAGAAACCCATAAATAAAATTTAACTTCCGAGTGAATAGTTTTCATGAATTGTCAAGGAATTTTTTAATAATTTAAATCTATTGATGTCTAAATATGCCATGCCAGTTATCTAAGCATGTGATGGGCTAACAAAATATAAACGACATCCATGGATTATTCTGATAGAGTTCAATGTTTATAGTTAAAAATTGCAGTGAAGAAGTGTATTAAGTTATAATACATTTTTCAACTTTCAAACACATTATTTATATCTGCAATAAGATCCTGTTTCTTTTAAAGACTGCTAAAGTACTCACAAACAGAATTATTATAAAATTATAAAATAATGTTCAAATTATTTGTATATACAAAATTTAAAAAAATTTTAAAAAACATTCCGAGATTTCAGTTGTAAACGTTCATGTGAGGAAGGTGATGCAATAATTTTTTCCACCACTGTATATAGGAACTAGATTTTTCATTACCAGAATATGGCATTAAGAATTTTTTTGTCCAATATTTGCCTTTTCCTGGCACATGATTACAATACTTTCTCTTTTTACAAAGTAAGGGCGAGAAAGTAAAAATTGAATCTAAGATTGAAAAATTAGGAAGAAAATTTTATTTGAAGCACATCAAGAAACCATTCATTTAATTTGAAAAAAAACCTACCTCTCCATTAATCCGATGCTCTGATGTGGAACCTTGTACTCCACGAGTGAAACGCTTCTCAGTTCCATCTTCCAATAAGAACACTGCAGTCACAGAAGCACTGTCATCAAAAATTAATAATTATTAGTGTACAAAGCAAAAAGTAACAGAGTCAATCGTACATCTATTGAAAGTTTTTCTCGTCTACAAAACACAAAAAATACAGAAAAGTCACAACCATTTTATCTTTTTGATCTGGAGTCCTCCTTCAGTTTTAGAAAAAGTATAACAATTAATACTGTGTAGAAGCTCATACACACAGACAAAATGAAATGAATAATAAAAATCCAATATTTACCGTTTCTTGGGAGGATGAAAATTTAAAATAACAAAAATACACAAATCATATCCCACAACTTCATAGAACTTGACATATATCACTTAAAAAATCTATTTACAATATATACAATTTGAACAGTAACTATTAGTTACAATAAAATATACACTTTCAAGTGATATATGTCAAGTTCTATAATGATACTGAATATTTCACACTTGGTCAGCTGGGATGCTGTCATTCAATTTGGAGCTTGAACGACACTAGTGACATTTAAGCTTCCGATTGGCTGACAGATGCATACCTTATAAGTGTCAACGGGTTTTAATTGAACAATATTTCACGGTTGTTGTTTTCCGTGTGTGTGTGCGCACATGTTTCCACACTACATTTTTATACTTTTGTACCTCTGAAGCGATCTTCAAATCAAATAGTTGAAACATCTGACTGACTATATTTTTCGTTTTGACTTGGCGACATAAACAATACAAACTTTTAATTTTTTTTAACTTAAATCAAATTTACCTCCTAGAGATTGGTTGTCCAATTGAAGCTCCATGAATCAAGTCACTTAGCCTTTTCACACGTAAGCTGGTTGTTTTCTCTCCCATGACAAAACTGACAGCATCCATAAAATTTGACTTTCCTAAAATGCAATATCACAATGTTATTCATGATAAATAAAATAATTAAATAAAAAATAATTATCACTACTGTCAACAATTGACATTAGTACTGTGGTACTAAGACATAATTCAATATGTCAAAAAACTTAATTTTTCTAGAGACTTTCCAAGGTTCATGGGCTCGCCATAATTAAGAATTTATTTATAATAATATGGTAAATCAGGTGTTTAACAAATAATATCCTCTTTCTTTCTGGTAGGACAGTGCAAACCTTCATTGGATAGCAAATCTTCAAGGCTCAAGAAATTAACTTTTTGACACAACATGTACTGTTCCTCTCTAACAACAGACTTGTTTTCAAATGCAAAAATTGACAATTACAACAATAAAAACATATACACTGGCAAATGGAAGAGTTTAATACCATAATATTAAGTACAATGAATTTCTAATTTAAATTCTCATGAAATACAAATCCAACAATAACAGCTAAATTTGGAAACACAAACACTCATCATGTATACACAAATGTATACGTTCATCGATTTACCTGAGCCATTGGGGCCAATTACTGCTGTAAATGATTTTAAGGGACCAATAGCCAAACTTCCTCGATATGATTTGAAGTTTTCCACTTCTATAAAATTTAAAACCGCAGGCATTTTGGGTCACCGTTGTTAAAAAGTCTCTCAAACGCCACAGCCAAACAGTACCTCTTCTGACACAAGCACTACATACGAGAAGATTGGTTAAAACTTTTCAAACAAAATATACTTTTCAACTAGTCGTCAACGCAACTCCTAACCACAATCGTCAAAAATAAACACCCGCACTTATAAGAAATATTAATTTCACTTGTCAAACCATTTTGTAACACCACCCCCGCCTACATTTCCCTACGATCAAAGCCGATACACTTCACAGAATAACCAATTTTTCCTCATAAATTAGAGAAAACCTGGTCATATCTAATTTCTTTGCAAGAAAATACAATGTATACAACTCCACCACAAAATACATAGAGTGTCAAAACATGAGAAGAAATTAAAAAAATCACTCCCTCGAGATAGAAATGTAATTTTGGGAATATGATTAAATAATTATGTACATATGTATTACATTTCATTACTGGCGAAGACAATAATACGTATTTTTATGCAAGTTTATGATAGCTGGCTTATGATAATTTACGTTCCGGAGTCGAAACAGTTGGTCATAGTCAAGTGGATTGGTCGCAATGGATTGCTGACTTACCCGCCTTTTCGGGAGCCAATCAAGTTTCGCTTTACCTATTGTTTTGATGGCGGATTGTTTAAAACTATCGTGTGGCTGCTAAACGCGATATTTCATACTTGGATTGTAAGTTTTTTGTACTTTTGTACTGTAGTAATTTATATTTATTATACTTTCAAATTTCAAGTGTAATTTCAGATATATAGACAAACTGGAATGACTTTAGAAGAACATCAGTAAAAGAGTGATAGAAAAGCAAAAGACTGCAACAGAGACGAAATTGTTTAATTAAAAATAAAATTACATTAAATAATATTGGACCATTCTCCAATAATTGGAATTGGTCTGGAATTAATGGGCTGCATCAGGGATTGCCATCTCCTGGAGAGTTTCATGACCCCTTCTGGAAAACTATTAATTTCTTCTTGGTGAGGAAACATTGAAACTACAATATGTCTCTCATTTATGATTTCAACACTTAAATGTTCAAATCAAGTAAAGTGGACAAGAAAACACATTTGGAAGTATTCTTATGATTCATTCAGTCTATGTTACAAAAGGAAAGATGGTTTTTACTCATTAATTCTTTGTTTTGACTCTTCTTGGAGTTTTGAATGCCCTGCTCACGCCAAACTAGACCCTGCATTGGGATACCTTTCACTATATTCTTAGTTCGCCTTCTTTCTATCACATTGCTCTGATTTGTTTGGGTATTTCTTTTCTAATTACAAAATTTATTTTTAAAAAATCACATGATCCATGGGAATCTCTGAAATGAGCTGAGCTCTGATATATATTATATATTACATAAATAAAATAGTATTTTAAAAATCACAATATTCACATCATGCCATTAAATTCTCCATCACATACAGCTTAAACTCCTTGCCTTTATATTGTTATTACTCCTACTAGACAAGTTGGATTGGGTATCATATGCTACTTAAAAAAAATATAACACAATGAATACCTAATAAAAAATTAAAATAAATAAATGAAAAATCTATGATCTAACAATGAGGGAAAGAAGAAGAATATTTTAAAATTATTTCAATAAATGGGATGAACAATTTACAAAAAGAAAAAATATATACTAATGACAAAAATATACAAGTACAAAATATCAAAATAACAAAAATTAAAATAAAGCCATAGCCATAAAAAGAATAAGAGTGTTGTAAAAAGAAGTAATAACAATATTTGGAATCAAGATTGTTTTAAAAGAACAGATCTTTAAGTTGGCTTTCAAATCACTTAAAGTAGGATTGAAAACATCTATGTTGTAACATGATTTATTGTGTCAAAAGCTTTTCTAAGTCTAAAGAAAATGTATATATGCTGGGTTATTGTTATCTGTTTATTTACTTATTTCATCTGAAATATAAACAATAGCATAAGTAGTACAATGCCTGCCTTGAAACCCAAACTGATAAACAGTACTAATGTCATGTCTCTAAAACAACCTATTGCAAGATAAATTAATATCACCTTTCCATCGAAGTTAATAAAACATCTTTACTTAGTAAAACCCTTTGCAACTTGATTTTGTAGTTGTACTTGAAGATTACTTGTAATAACACAAAGGAAATATACAATTAAGTGACAATGTACTGCCTTAAATTTACAAAAATATTTAACTTGAAAAAAACTTACTCACCCGATTGATGCATGGCATTAAAATAGTAATTTTTTTTCCGTTAGAGTCTATTTACATGAACTGTCAATTATGTATAATTGTTAAAAAATGGTAAAATAATATTTTTAAATAATTAATTTCAGAACTTTACAAACAAATAGGTAATAAGTATCCACAATGGTGGTTAAGCAAGAAATTGGGAAAGGAATAAATGGAAAGAGAGGATTTCCTTATGGAGATGGTGTTATAATGAAAGTAGATTGTGAAATACCAATGTGTACTGTAGAAAAAAGTTCAGAAATTTTTGAGCAAGTTGAAGATGAAAATGAAAACACAGATTCCTTAGATGAAATTGAAAAAAATCAAGATTTGAAGATGTTTTTTGAAAATTCCATTAATTATACAATTAATCCACGAGTTGTAGTACAGGTAAGATTTATTTAATCTATTGTTCTTATGGTTAGGTTTTCTCATTAAATTTTTCACACGATGGGCAAGGTAATACAAATTCACAAGAAAATGGACAAACCAGATCTAACTAAAACCAATATCTATTCTGAACCATTCCATTCTGAAGTTATTCGAGAGATTTTTTAAGTCAATTATTTCTCATACACGGAAAACAAAAACAGTTTTCCTTTGATCCCTTGTTACAGTATAATGGTTCTGGTATACTGGAAATGTTCTTTTGTTTTTCTGTGTAGCATTGATATATCATCTTACTCTCAATGTAGCTTCAGGAAAATCAAAATCAACCACAACCAATATTGTCATAATAAGTAAGTTCATATCTGAATCACTGGACCATGAGGGAAAGGTCAATGTTATTAACAATTATTTTTCCAAAGCCTTACATCAAGTGGTCCATAACTTCTTCTTATACAAACTCTTCAAACTTGGATTCAAGAGACCCATTATCTTCATGGTTGTGAACCTACCTCGCTGGAAAAAGGTGGCAACTCACAGTGTTTCTTCTGGCTTACCACAAGGGTCTCATCTTGGCCCTTTACTGTTCCACATCTTCATTAATGATCTGACATCAGTTATTAAATGTTGTAGAATTCTACCCTTGCCAATGACAAAAATTTACTATAGAATCTGCAATGCTACTGAAGCTTGTAATCTACTCGCTTGGTGCTGAGACAACAATATGCAACTAAACATTGGAAAGTGCTATATCATGAGGTACATGACAAAGAAACATCCCATATACAATTATTATTTCATCTACAATGTAGTTGACCTTGCAGTGACCTTTGATGCACACTTAAACTTCATCCTGCATATTGAGTTAACTTGCAGTAAGGTCAGAACATGCTTGGATTTGTGCTGAGGAACCCTCACACAAATTTACGTAGTATTGATACTTGCATGCTGTTGTTTTCTGCCTTCATTGGGTCTATCTTAAAATATATGCAACAATAATTTGAACGCCACACACAGACACATCTTCCATCTTACTAGAAAAAGTTCAAAACAGATTCCAAACAACTCACATATATGAATTCACATCTATGTCAGAACCATAATTACACTAGATTGTAATTACGAGAACACAGATGAAACTAGATATTTTCACACTAACTACACGATTGTTTCATGACCTCATTTTCCTGCATTCCTTCATTGCAAGTAATATTAAATATTCTGATATTCTGTCTCGACTACAGTTCAGCATTCTTCAACGTATCAACAGACATCACAAGCTATTCTACTTTCAAGCAGCAGGACAAATTATTTGTGCTTTGACTTTTTTAACAGACAGATTTTCAAGAGAAACCAAAAAAATCTGTGGCAAAATTGATTTTTCCGACAGTGATGCTACAAAATTCTGCAACTCTTTAAAAACTGTCCTAAACATGTAACTGAACATTATTTGATATTCTTTTTTTTCTGCTACAAAAAATGTCTCTTACGTTTCATGACATACTTATATTTAATCATTTTATATTATTGTTTTAACCAAGATATTTATTGATAATTTATTTTTAAAGTTTATTTGCATTTTTTATTCAGTATTCATTTATTTTTTTATTGTTTAGATAATGAGAGTATTACACAATGCAAAATTTACCATTGACTCTGGGGTATATTACTATTATGCTGTGTTACTCTAATCGATTTACACATTATATACTTCTGTAAATTTATTTACTACTACAACCTTTGTAAGGAATATTCCCTTACATGTATGAATAAATAAAATATAAATAAATAAATATTCATCTCAGAACTAGCTGAGATTTTTAACAAGCAATAAAGCTATTGACATTGCTTCTTAAGTATGAGTAGTTTAAAGATGTACCATTTATTACTAAAATTCTTGTAGAAATACTTTGTTTATAAGACAAACAATTATGTACCTTTTTTAATACATTGCAGTTCTATATTTTTGTCTGCCAGATGTATAGAACAATACATCAGCATTTCATGCAATATAATCTTCAGTGTCAAAGAAAGCCATAGTGTATGGAAACACAATATTGAGATACTAATAATATCACAAAGAAATTTAAAATGCTAGATGAATATTCAGCAAATTTAAATGTTTCTTCCCAAACCAAATCCATACATGTTCAGCAAGGGAATAATTCAAGTAACGAATAAATAAACTCATGAAAAAGCAGTCTTGCATAGCGTATGAGAGTCAAAATTATTTAGATTTTCTGGAAGTCCACGGGTTAAGATTCTTAAAAATTGCAGAAATAAAGCTTTTTTTATTTATTTTTTTATTTTATTTAATCATTGAAAGATCCATACATTTTTCAACAATCTTCTGTTTTTTATTGTTTAAATTTTTAAACTCACATCTTAAAAAAACAATTTTACAAATTTTTTTATTTGCAAATTAACTTCTAATAATATTTTAGAGGTGCATTGTTTCCTCCATCTTCAGATTCTAAACATACAATAAATGACGTAGGTTTGTTTGTGAGTATATTTAAAATCTGGAGGAAACAATGCACTTCTGAAATGTTATTAGAAGTTAATTTGCAGATAAAAAAATTGTAAAATTGTTTCTTTAAGATTTCAGTTTAAAAATTTAAACAATAAAAAACTGGTGATTGTCAAAAATATATGGACCTTGTATGATAAAAAGAACCTAATAAAACACAATCTATACCACAAAATTCAAATACAAAAAATAGAGCTTGTATGAAGGCCAGGAAATGGATTTGTTTCCAAATACCTATATGACATTTAAAAAACTAATAAAAGATTTATTTTAAGAAAACATTAAAATCTGTGGTTTTAATTCATTTCCATTTTTTATTGCAACAAAGGTTAACAAACTTATTTCTTTGTAGGAATGTAACAGTACAAAAGATCCATATGATGAAGACATGGCAGAAGTAAAATATCTCTATTCTAAGCCAGTTGCATTTATCATTATAGGTAAACCATCTCCTGACAACATGAAACTTGGACAGAAGTTGGCAACATACTGGGGTTGCCTGTATATTGATCGTAAGGAATAACTGTAAAGCCCAATTAACATTAAAATCGCTCTATTCTTGGAAGGTATTGTTAAATAGAGTGGAAAAACTTCAATAGCTCATCATTCTTAAAATAATAATAATAAATTGAGAAACAAGGTCACATAAAGGAATTCCAGAAAACTATTAGAAAGAAAATATCTTAATTAATTGTCATATAGTCTTTTGTGACACAGAATTGTTGAACATCTTGGTGATACCTTTGGTATAACCAAAATCATTATTATAAATGTGACATTTAACCCAGAATGCAATAAAATAATATTCCAAACATATATACATTAACTATTATAATCCATTACTTGTTTTTATTTTATTTTCTTGACTTGCATTATAATTTAAAAACAAAATAACTGAAGTTTAATATCATTCTGAACATATTCTAAAATTATATAAATGAAATGCTTTTTATTCACCTGCAAAATTACATGTTGAGTTTCTTTTGAAGTCATTATATTGAACTTCATGACAATAATTAACATATGGAATGCTACAATAAAAATGTTTTCCCATTTTAATTCTGTTCTGTTTATCAAAAAAAAAAATAGTGATATAAATATAAATGTAATGAATCTGTGTTGAGCACATTGTGTTATATTGTTGATTATTTTCTTTCTTATGTTAATGTGTATTAAAGTAACAATATTTGTTTTATGTACATTTTAATACTTTGTGAAATTGTGGTGAAACACCTGTGTTAAACCTTAAAATCAAATATATCTGTCTATCTAATCCCCACCCTTTTAAAACACCTGCACCCTTATTTTAAAAGAAATCTTGGAGTAGAAAAAAATCTTCTTATTTTTCTTCTCTTCCCACTTTAATCACAAGAAAGTATTTGATTAATTTATGACATTCCTAATGTTGAAACACAAGTGTGCACCTGTGATTAATGAAAAATAACTATAAGTTTGTTTATCCAGCTGATTAATATTAGTTTCTTCAAGTCGAATTTGTTCTTATACCAAACGCAAATGCAACTTTCATCTGCATCATACTTCCTTCCTGCTGCATCATTACTAATTTGTTGTGCATATTCTGTCAAGTGTAATATTTCTTTCATGGTGAAAGATCAAGCTTCAAGTTTGCAGTATACCAACCTTGATGTGAATAATACCCACATCCCAATTTTCAGCTACTAAGTTTTGAAAAAAAGTCCAGAGATTATTCAAATAAATACAGTATTAGTGTTTCAATTTTTTAACAATAACAAGATTTACAAGTCTATAATAGCTATTTTAGGTTTCACTAGTCAAATTTGTTCAAAGATGTTCTCAGAATGTATGGTAACATGTTAAGAAATAATTGAGGAAAGGCTCTGAAAAAGGGCATTTAATGAAAATGATGGCTTAGTAACAAATGTATGTAATAGATTTTTGGAGTAATACATCAATTCAAAAGGTCCGCATATAATGAGCTCTTTGTGAAAATATGAATTAATTAATTATTTTATTATTTCAACATATTACTATAATATTTTGTAATAGTGCTCAAAGTCATATTTTTTTCAAAGTGCCCAAAATAACCCAAAAAATAGTGAACAGTATAATGTAGTAAGTCATGTGGATATAACTAAATGAATTAGAAGAAAAGAAATCTATGGTTGAAAAGAACAAATACACAGTTAACTAGAATTTTTTTTTTTTTAACTATAGATAATTCAGTGGAGAAGAAAGAATAAATTGAAAATGAGTCAAATTATTAAATTACATAAGTTTAAGATCTCATAAAAAATGTGAATTAATTGAAGTACAAGTAACTAAAATTTCCATTTATTAGCAATTACATGTTTCAACATGGAACCTGAGGAGGCAGATTCACCAGTATTACTCTGGTGTCGTAAGCACCTTTCTGAAGGAAGAAAGATACCCAGTGAAATAGTAATGCGTGTAATGGAACAACGTGCCCTCTCTAATGAGGTAAGATGCTTAAAAAACTCAAGCTTGTATTATGTACAAAAGTTCAGTCATGAAAATTGCATTAATGATCGGTAAATATCTACAATTGTTCCTCCTACTTCTCTAAGACACAGGAATATTGGTTTCAAAATCCACTTATTTTTATTTTTATTCTAATTGTAAAATATTTTATTATTGGAAGACCGAAATCACAAATAGCATGAGAATGAGCTCTGTCTGTAGCAGGCTAGGGTTCAGGGCAATATCTGTTGCTGTTGCAGCATTCCTGACTGGGAAACCCTAGGGTTCTAATGCCAATGGTTGCAGATTTATGGCACTAGCTAGGTCAGATTCAGCCATCAGAAAGGAGCTATCTTGGAGGAGAATTTGAGTGGCTGGCTTCTCTGATTGGTAATTTTCTGTGGTTTCTCCAACAATACTACATCTGTGCAACAGCAATACCTCCACAAACAGGCCATGGTCCATGCATTATCACTTCTTCATTATCCTTCATTGTCCCTCCTCCCATTTACATACGAACACACACATGCACACACTCTCTCTTTCTATCTCT